CAAATGCTATACTTCATCATTTTCTGTTTCTATTTAAAATAGTATACAATTATTTGAAAAATAATAATTTTTGAAAACGTTACCTCCCTTGAAACCTGAACGTATGACGAATGTCATTGTTTACTTATATAGTTTGCTTATATAAGAAATAACGTTATATGAACATATTTAACGACTATAATGGCTGTTTCCGACGGGAATAAAGTTTTTTTTGTTACCCTCCAGGGTCGGTCTACGACGTCACATAATATTAAGGGGATCGTTCGTCAATTTATTTATATATATATATATATCATATAAGGAGAATTTCACTCATGATCATCTTTTAGCCCTCGTCGAGGGCTTTAAGTCTGACCAACAGTTTTTCCATACGGCCTAGTCATCTATAGTAGTGTATGCAAAAACTTAGCATGATGTACAGACGTTAAGTCATCTAAAAATTGTGTTAAAATTTCCCTGTTTTGCCATAAAATACAAAGATTATATAGGGAAATACAACTGGTCAGTTTTGACCCCTTTACGAAGTTTTCCAAGATATGCCAAGTTTTTTATGACACCCCTAGGTGTTCTTCTACCACCTCACAAAATATCAAGGGGGGTCGTCGGAGGAAAAAAAATTTCGTAATAGAGCTCATATAAAGAGAATTTCACTCGCGGTCACTTTTTAGCCCTCGTCGAGGGCTTTGAGTGAAACCGACAGATTTCCCTAAAGGTCAAGCCATTGTCCTAGGAACATGCAAAAAATTAGCCAGATATACTGAGTTTAAGTACCCTAAAGTCTGCGTTGAAATGACCCTCTGTTTTTCCCATAAAATACAAAGATTATATAGGGAAATACAACTGGTCAGTTTTGACCCCTTTACGAAGTTTTCCCAGATATGCCGAGTTTTCTGTGACACCCCAATGTGTTCTCCTACCACCTCACAAAATTTCAAGGGGGGTCGTCGGAGGAATTTTTTTTTCGTAATAGAGCTCATATAAAGAGAATTTCACTCGCGGTCACTTTTTAGCCCTCGTCGAGGACTTTGAGTGTAACCGACAGTTTTCCCTAAAGGTCAAGCCATTTACCTATAAGCATGCCAAAACTGAGCCAGATGTAAAGAGGGTAAGTGCCATAAAATCCGTTTTGAAATGACCCTCTGTTTTCCCCATAAAATACAAAGATTATATAGGGAAATACGACTGGTCAGTTTTGACCCATTTCCCAATTTTTCCCGGACATGGCGAGTTTTTTGTGACACCCCAATGCGTTCTTCTACCACCTCACAAAATATCAAGGGGGGTCGTCGGAGGAATTTTTTTTTCGTAATAGAGCTCATATAAAGAGAATTTCACTCGCGGTCACTTTTTAGCCCTCGTCGAGGGCTTTGAGTGTAACCGACAGTTTTCCCTAAAGGTCAAGCCATTTACCTATAAGCATGCCAAAACTGAGCCAGATGAAAAGAAGGTAAGTGCCATAAAATCCGTTTTGAAATGACCCTCTGTTTTCCCCATAAAATACAAAGATTATATAGGGAAATACGACTGGTCAGTTTTGACCCATTTCCCGATTTTTCCCGGACATGGCGAGTTTTTTGTGACACCCCAAGGCGTTCTTCTACCACCTCACAAAATATCAAGGGGGGTCGTCGGAGGAATTTTTTTTTCGTAATAGAGCTCATATAAAGAGAATTTCACTCGCGGTCACTTTTTAGCCCTCGTCGAGGGCTTTGAGTGTAACCGACAGTTTTCCATAAAGGTCAAGCCATTTACCTATAAGCATGCCAAAACTGAGCCAGATGAAAAGAGGGTAAGTGCCATAAAATCCGTTTTAAAATGACCCTCTGTTTTCCCCATAAAATACAAAGATTATATAGGGAAATACGACTGGTCAGTTTTGACCCATTTCCCGATTTTTCCCGGACACGGCGAGTTTTTTGTGACACCCCAAGGCGTTCTTCTACCACCTCACAAAATATCAAGGGGGGTCGTCGGAGGAATTTTTTTTTCGTAATAGAGCTCATATAAAGAGAATTTCACTCGCGGTCACTTTTTAGCCCTCGTCGAGGGCTTTGAGTGTAACCGACAGTTTTCCCTAAAGGTCAAGCCATTGTCCTAGGAGCATGCAAAAAATTAGCCAGATATACTGAGCTTAAGTACCCTAAAGTCTGCGTTGAAATGACCCTCTGTTTTTCCCATAAAATACAAAGATTATATAGGGAAATACAACTGGTCAGTTTTGACCGCTTTACGAAGTTTTCCCAGATATGCCGAGTTTTTTATGACACCCCTAGGTGTTCTTCTACCACCTCACAAAATATCAAGGGGGGTCGTCGGAGGAAATTTTTTTTCGTAATAGAGCTCATATAAAGAGAATTTCACTCGCGGTCACTTTTTCGCCCTCGTCGAGGGCTTTGAGTGTAACCGACAGTTTTCCCTAAAGGTCAAGCCATTGACATAGGAGCATGCAAAAAATTAGCCAGATATACTGAGCTTAAGTACCCTAAAATCTGCGTTGAAATGACCCTCTGTTTTTCCCATAAAATACAAAGATTATATAGGGAAATACAACTGGTCAGTTTTGACCGCTTTACGAAGTTTTCCCAGATATGCCGAGTTTTTTATGACACCCCTAGGTGTTCTCCTACCACCTCACAAAATATCAAGGGGGGTCGTCGGAGGAAATTTTTTTTCGTAATAGAGCTCATATAAAGAGAATTTCACTCGCGGTCACTTTATAGCCCTCGTCGAGGGCTTTGAGTGTAACCGACAGTTTTCCCTAAAGGTCAAGCCATTGATCTAGGAGCATGCACAAAATTAGCCAGATATACTGAGCTTAAGTACCCTAAAGTCTGCGTTGAAATGACCCTCTGTTTTTCCCATAAAATACAAAGATTATATAGGGAAATACAACTGGTCAGTTTTGACCCCTTTACGAAGTTTTCCCAGATATGCCGAGTTTTTTGTGACACCCCAAGGTGTTCTCCTACCACCTCACAAAATTTCAAGGGGGGTCGTCGGAGGAATTTTTTTTTCGTAATATAGCCCATATAAGGCGCCGGTCAGTCGAGGTCAGTTTTGACCCCCTGTCCGTAGACTTTTTGCCGAACCGTCACCGGCCCTCGTGTTCTATCGCCATAAGGCACCTTCGTGCCAAATTTGACGCGCCTGCGGCGCCGGGAAGTGCCCTATCGGGCACCCGACGACTTTGCTTTATATATATATATATATATATATATATATATATATATATATATATATATATATATATATATATATATATATAAATATATATATATATATATATATATATATATATATATATATATATATATATATGATTGTATTGCACGAACTATTATAAATATAATAAACTTTAAACTAGTTTGGAATCTATATTAATTCCTCTCAGACATAAAGCAAACCAGTCTCTCAGATAAAAAAGATAGTAAAAGATAGAGTAAAAAAGAAGAGGATGGGTCGCACATTGAACTGAAGGGAAGCTGTCTTTATGACTATGTTAACCGAATAAAGTGTTTAAAATTGGCTGTAAAATAATCATAAAGCCATACCTCGTTTTAAGATCTATATTTGTAAATGTTATACTTGTTTAAGAAATATAGTTTATAAAATAGTTTTATTAGTTGTTTTTTTTAATGTTGGGAAAAAAAATATAATTAGCGTGGATTGATACAGTGCAATGTGGTAGGTAAAACGATGATATTTTAAAAACTATCCTTTATTTATTTTATGCAATGAACGTACTGTTTACTTATTATTATTTTAATCAATAACAGTTTAGAAGCCGATTATAAATTTCCTCTATATTTGTTTTATCTTTCGGTTTGCGGACAAGCTGGGAATATTATAGTCGTTCAATAAATCGAATCAGCCACTTCCGCCGGCGTCCCGACATGGTTCAAATTTGCGCCCTGGGCTATCCTGTGAGCGCTATGGTGCATAAGTTCGGCGCCCCGACAAGTTGCTATTTGATGCCCCGAGCCTTCCCGTGAGCGTTATAGCGCATAAAATCGTTTTATTCAGTGCGATAGACTATGAATATAAAATGGATAAGAAGGGTTTCTAAATGTTATTCATTTTAACACCACTCCCCCCATACTATACATTTCATACTTAATCAATATACCGTTAATAAAGGGATAAAGCTATATAATCTTTTGACTTACCATTGTACAGAAGTATTTGGAGATGTTATTTTCGTCACGCAATAATCTAACTGCTAATTGTTAGTTTAAATAAGCAATCGATACACATCTTAATAAATAAAAGCCCATGTGTGCATTTCTCACTTGCTCTCTCTCTTTCTCTCTCTCTCTCTCTCTCTTGCTCTCTCTCTCTCTCTCTCTGTGTGTGTCTCCGTCCGTCACATTTTCCGAGATTATGATGTAATTATTTTCAGCAGAATGGGAAGAACTTTGAATTTTGTTAAAAATAATACGTTGGGTGCACTAAATATGTAAGGAACAATCAATTTAAGTACAGAAAATAAAAACAAAAACATATTTGTATGTAGAAACACATCTGTGAATGTACTTAAGAATTTTTCTGTGTCCTTACACAATTTTTTCACTTTATAGTTATTTAAGAATTCTTATAAATTAAATTATGTCATTAGAGAAAATTTGAATCTTTTTTTTTATAACAGGCTATGAACGAAGTAAGTATAAATAAATGTTTATTTTAATCATGCATTGTTGATGCTCACATTTGTTTGCTTGATTTCAAATAGAATCATATATTTAATTGGAAGATTTTAAAATATAACGGTAAATGTTTTAAATACATATTAATAAATATTACCTGAGAACTGTTAATATCTTTCCCTACTAAATTTCACCTAAGCAATATATGTTATGTTACAAAGATAACAATCATTAATTAAAAATTATTAATTAAGAAATGTCATTATCCTTACCTACTAAATTTTACTGAAGCAATATTTATAATGTTAGAAAGACAACAATCATTAAGTACAACTAAACATATTTTTTTTCTTTCAGCAAGGTCCAATAAAAATTAAAAAACGTCCGGGCGGTGAAGCTATTGTTGTTCAAGGGTACACAACTAAAAAGAACCCAAAGTATAAAATTACCAATATATTATTGATCCTTCTGTTAACTGCTTATCAGAATTGATGAAAAAAAAAGAACAAGAATATGCGTATAATGGTTTATTTTCAGGATAGCGATTTCACATGAGCTTCATTTTTATAGTTCCATTTCCTTTGCTATGTTTTTAGCTTTGTTTTTATTGGTAACAATTAAACACGACTGCTGTACCGGTCGCAATAGATCTACAGTCAAACATAAGTGAAATGAATTTTACGTGAAGATGGTCAAATGATGTATATCCTACCGGAAATTTTGAAATCTAATGTTTTAAATACGCCAAGGCAAAGGCCTAAATTACAATTCTCTATATTGGCACCCTATAAGAGGAGATTAAGCTTTGTCCTTCTTTTACCAGTAAAGTGGTGTTATCCACATAACAGTGTGTATCATTTTCATTTTTCTAATGCATAGATTAAGGGTCAGTTTCTAGGCTAATTTTAAAACATTATTTTTCCATTTAACGACGATCAAACCTTCTTTTACATTTTACGGGATCTGAATGAAATATTTTCTTAAACAATTTGGTATTAACTTACTTTTGGGACTTTTAAAGCATATGTTTCATAATTTTTTAAAGGTCCATATATATATATATATATATATATATATATATATATATATATATATATATATATATATATATATATATATATATATATATATATATATATATATATGAAGGACATTTTTCCAAAAAATAAAAAATTAACGAAACAATGATAAACTGTTATATGTATTATCTAATAGTATGGCAATCATTATAACATTCACTTTTTTTAATTTTCACACTAACGTAACACTAGTATATTTCTATATGGTTTTACACTCAATTTTCTATTGGAACACTTCGTAGACTTTCTTATGTATCAAACATGGCAAAAGCTGCCGACACGTCTTTCTGTGTCTGTCTCTACGTATATACGTCTGTATATGTGTATATTTGTATGTATGTAAGTCTGTATGTCTGTGTGTCTGTATGCCTGTATGCATATATGTTTCCATAACGACATATAATATATGTATATTAATAAATTCATTTTCGTTATTGTGATATTATTTTCTTTTTAAAGACAACCTATCATCTTGCTGACCATTTTTTCTTTCTCTATAGGATTTAATGTCGACTCGTTTAACATAACAGTATAATAAAAAATCATCAAGTATATTTTTTTTTTAACCGTAAAAATTTATAAACAATGTAATTGTTATGTACGTATGTGTATATTTATAGTATTTTAAGTAGGTAATTTACTAGATCTGCTAACGACAAAGGTTTCAAATTATAATAGAATCATTTCACCGCTTGACAAAGACAAAAAACAAGACAGATGAATCAACTTAAACAAAAGCCTGAAAACGTTCAGCGTTATCAGTTTAAGAATTTATTATCAGTATTTACCTGTTTCATTTAATAGCAATTTCGTTTACAGCTTTTCTCTATACCTTCGATGCCCACCTGCAGTCACTGGAAAAATTGCCACTCACATTAGCATGAAATTGTTATACAACAAGATTAATTATGTGGAAATTGATGGTAACAATTTTGAATATTACGGGAAATTTAACTTCCAAACTAAGCAGGAGTTTAGATTTCAAATAAACACTACTTCAGGAATGACTCTGGTAACTTAACCTTTGTTATATTAAAATAACACAATAGATTTTAAATAAAGGTGTTTATTTAATATATGTTAATAGTATTAAATTAATACATTAATTTTGAATTGCAATGTCAATAATTATTATTTAATCATTTAATCCAGATTTGTATAAACAAAGTATCAGACGAGACACGGTTACATGTCAATAGTTGTTATGAATATTTGGAAGTTTACGGTGATCTAAAAGTATCTAAAGTCGAGGTATTATAAGAGGATTAAAGAGGACATCAATTGTGTTTTAAGCTTTTAAATCTTTTGGTATCGGTATTTTAAGAAAACAAACGAAAAAAATGGGAGTATTAAATTTTGCATCTCACTCACATGCATACAAACAAACACATTAAACATCCTATGCATACAAATTCACACATGCAATGCACATTTACCAAAAAAAAACTTGAAGTTTTGTTTGTTGTTTCATACAAACACTAATAAAAAATTGTTCTTAAAACTTCACTTTAACACACATTTTCTCGCACTCACACTTTTATACACATGAACTAAAAACAATTATACATATTTTTAATTGGAGAAGGGACATAAAGTTAGAGCATTTCTATATTTTTATTCGTTGTTATCGACTACTACTCGTAAAAAGTTTTAAATCATTAAGACTAATTAAAATAATTCTTTATTTGTTTGTATATATGTGAATTAGACCGATTTGCAAATTAATAAAACTAAACTTTAGATTAGAAAGAAAAACTTTATTGAATATATGTTTTGTTTTTGTCTGTGTATACTAATTAATTGATTAAAATACTGTTGTCGTATTTTAAAAAATGTATTGCATCAATGCTGATTAAAAAAAGTATTTTTCAATGTTTAAAAATTTAAAGCATTTAATGTATGATTTTAAAATATATCTTTCAGCTTTAATTTAGTTAGCAAACACTATTTGTTTCCTTCTTGTGAATTTGTTACCAATTTTTATGATTCAATTTTGACCCATTTCTAATGCAGATTAAATTTTCAATATACGTTTTTCTTTGAAAATACGTGTCTATGTTTATTAGACATTAAAATGTTACAAAATCAATAATAAAATAATTCGGTAGGGCAGTTGAGTTGTTTGACAATGCGAGTTTTGCCACTGTTTCTTAGTGTAGAATGACCACGTAGAATGGAAAGACACCTGTCTTTTAGAGATTGCAATCTACTGGTCGTGTATCAGCGCTAATATTTTTAGTTGTAGCCACTGTAGGTGTTCAATTAGAATTAACTACTAAAAACTGGACAATAAAGTATATCAACCGTTTTTTTTTAAAATAAAATTGTTTTTAATACGCCGAAACTAAATACATACATTTGCCTTTTTTTTTATAAAAGATTAGTTCGATCAAATATGTAAAAGATCTCATGATCCAGCATTGCTTTAGTTTAAGAAAATAGATTACTTTTATTTTTTTAATTTTTTTTTTTTAATTTCAAGAGCGTTTAATGGCTTGTTATTTCAAATGCTTGTGCTTTTAATATTATTTTGCGATGGCCCTATACCTTACACCAATCTCAATTTATCTTCATTTATCTTCAGTACATAATACTTTTGAAATGCATGAAATGCATAAATTATTTTTTTGTGTAACTGTCCTTTATTTCGTGATACAGAATAAAACGTAAATTCAAACATTTCATTTGATTGTGTTTTTAATAAAATGTATAATTTTAAAATAGTTATATGCAATTGTTTTGAGGTAAAGTTACAAAGGTGCTAAATGGTCAGACTTTCGGTTTTTCTCCTTATAAAGTAAAGCGGGAGTGATCGCCCCAAAACTTTCCTGAACATACATAACACTACTATCTATATAGAAAGCAATGTATGTCTGTGTGTCTGTCTTGTATGCATCACTACACCTCTCGTAACATCGCCGTAAAACTTTGGGAAGCTGTTGAGAATATTCCTGGGGAGGGTTCTGCTAAAAAATTAAATCAAATTCGCAGGGGTGGCGCCCCGGCAGGGCGCAATTTGTTTTTTCTCCATATACGGTATGTAAAAATAAAAGTCGATTTTGATGTAACACCGTTCATCCGATATACATAAAAGTTTGGGGAGTTCATTATAACACTACCAGAAAGGATTCTTTAAAAACAAACTAATTTCGCAAGGGCGGCGCCACGGGAGAGTGCGATTTTCCTCTATATACGTATTATAAAAATAAACGTCGATTGCGTTTTGTTGCCGTTCATACGATAGCCATGAGACTTTGGGGATTTGATTAGGACACTCTGGGGAAGGTTTTTGTAAAAAAAATCATTTTTAATTTCGCAAGGGTGGCGCCACGGGAGGGTGCGATTTTTCTCAATATACGGTGTATAAAAATAAACGTCGATTGCGGTTTCTCGCCGATCATCCGATAGCCATTAAACATTGAGGAGTTGATGAATAGTTCCGAGACGGTTTCTGCAATCCGAGGGGGAGGTGGGAGTGGGTGGATTTAATTTTGCATGGGCCGCCCCCCGGAAGGATGCGATTTGGCGCCCTGTTCTTTCCCGGGAGCGCTATGGAGACTACGTTCGTTCTAAATTGAATTAGGCGTGTCCTCTGGCGCCGTAGTAGGGAGCGAATAGGCTGCAAATGAAAATTTCTTTTTCGGGCTCCAAAGGCTCACATGGGCCGCTGAGAGCCATGTAATACGTTTTATTTTAATAATCAGAAAAATTAACCAAGATTAGATTATTAACTGGGATGTTTCTTTTCGTCCGATTTTTCTCTATATACGGTGTACAAAAATAAAAGTCGATTGCGGTTTGACATCGTTTATCATATCGCCAGCAAACTTTGGAGAGTTGATTAAAACACTTCTAGTGAGGGTTCTGTAAAAAAAATCTTTTTTTTTTTTAACATTTCGCAAGGGCGGTGCCACGGGATGGTAGGATTTTTGTCTAAATACGCTACATAAAAATAAAAGACGATTGCAGTTCGACAAGGTTTATCCGGGTGCCGTAAAAATTTAGGGAGTTGATTAATGGGTGGGTGTTGGGGGTAAGGGGAATGATTAATTTTGCATGGGTTCCCAGCCTCAGGATGCGATTTAGCGCCCTGTTCTTTCCCGTGAGCACTATGGCGACTACATTCGGTCTAAACAGGATAGGATGTGGCGTTACAAGCGCTCACTAAATTGAAACAGGCATGTCCGCCGGAGCCCTGGTAGAGTGCGATTTGGCTGCAAATAAAAATGTCTGTTTCAACCTCTAACGGCTCACATGGGCCGCTCAGGGCCATATAATACGTGTTATTTTAATAATTAGAAAAAATTAACCAAGGTAAGATTCTTTATCCAAACAGTTTCGTCACTTTGCGAATGATGCAATTAGTATCTATTTTTAGACAATCCAATCAGAAATTGACATTGAGAATCTAATAATAGACCATTAGTAACGCTAACATATTGCATCAGTCACACGTCTAATTTTATTTTTTACGTTAAAGAAAAAATCCTGTTCATTTGTGACACTTTACCGAATGATGCAATCTTCATCATTGTTAACAGGATGCTATTTGGCACTCAGGGTTATCCTATGAGCACGATGGCGCCTGTTAGTTTTTAGGAGCCAGGGAACCCCGCTGCACCTATGCGGTAAAGTAATCGGGGGGGGGGGGGCTCCTAAGAGCGCCCCTCTACGTGCCTAACACATGGGTGGTCACCGAAGTGTGTTCTACCTCATTATTTCGGTGAGTAATTAATGCACACTCAAGGTTTTCATGCTGTAGTGTAGGTAAACCAGTGTCACGATATTAATGATCCAAGCGCAGGCATTGTTTAAAATTAAATAACTCACTTTTAGAAAACAGGGTCACGTATCTAAGAATATAGGATTGGTAATGCATAGATGAAACCCTTCTTATATATTTCGTCGGACTTTCGCGGATATATATATATATATATATATATATATATATATATATATATATATATATATATATATATATATATATATTCATTGTACATTTGTACATTTAATTTATGTCTTGTTATTGTATTCATTCAATCCACTGATCCTAATTAAAAATAATTTAGAGTTTAAATAATTAAAAATGGATTAAAAATCATATCTATATCCCGATATTCCACCCCCTGTTGTTTTATATAAGAATATTACAGAAGGTTTAGATGAGATAACTCCCGGTTTATTTTTGCATTGTATCAATTTAATAAAAACCTATGTAATGGTCGCAATAGATCTAAAGGCAACCATATACTTTAAACGAATTATACATGAATATGTTTAAATTATGTTTATCCTTCCGGAAATATTGAAATCCGATATTTTAAATAAGTCAGTGCTAAGAAAATAAAAATATTAAAATTATATCGAACAGTACCGGCCTACATAACCGTTCTCTTCTATGTCAACCTATATGAGAAGTAGGAGCTTTGTCCGTTAAGAGTTATTTTTTTACCTCTAAATGAATGCTATCCACATCCAGGTTTGTATCGTCTTTTCTCTGATCCTAAGATTAGAGGTCATGTTCCAAATTATTTTTGAAACGTTGTTTTGTCGTTTAACTGCTGATAGCTTTTTTTTTACGGACTTAAGTTCCGAAAGAAATTTTTTCTTAAACAATGAGTTATTATAGTGCATAGTTCGTAAATTTGTAATGGTCCAAATATATATTGGTACTTACAAGTACAGTGAGGAATGTAGGACAGATTTTCCAATAAACAAAAAAAAATTACAAAAAAGATAAACTGTTAAAATTAATAACATGGCCATCATTTTAATTATCATTTTTTAATTTGACACATAAAAGAAACGGTAAATAACACTTTATGGTTGTTGGCTGAAATTTTTATGGGAGCACATCGCAGACTTTCTTCTGACTGTACCAGAAACAGCCGAATTTGCCGACATGTCCTACTGTCTGTCTGTTCGTCGCCACAATTTTTTTTTATTGAATCGTCAATTGTTTAAATCTTTAATTAAATTCAAGAGCAATAATTGTTGTTACTCATTGAGCATTATTTAGCATGAGTTTTTTTAACTATAATTTATGATGTTCTACGCACTCCTACAAATATTAAAATAATATAGGAAAAATCAGATAAAAAGAAAAAACAGTTTGAAACGGATGTAACTAACGATATTTTTTCTATTTTCAGTTATATCATCAGTTACCTAACTAAACAAAATATTCATAGTGCAGCTTTTGTTTAATGAACGATATGTTTTTATTTGATTTTGAAGATATATTATTTTATCAATTTAATAGTAAAACAAAAATATTTAGTAAATGACGTCTCAGTATTTGATTTATTTTGTCAGTTTCATTGAATATGACTACAATTATGGTAATGATTGCATTCTGAGAGTAAGCCTATGTACCTACAAATAGTTAAAAAAACTAATACTTATAGCAATCTTTTTTATAGTTAGGTTACTTAACCTTGACTTATAAATGGACGTTAACTAAAGCAAAATAGGCGAATTTTTAAAATATACTAACAGGTCAGAAATAGACCAATTAAACATAACGTACCAGGCTGTTATCAGTGCCAGACTTGAAGAGTGAAGCCTGCTGTAAGCATTTTTTCACAACGTTATTTCGGGGGAACCTTACTTATGATGACACTTGTGTTACTTTTATAAATTAATACACTTACTCATTCATGTACCTGTAGCATATGTCATCAAACTACAATTGTG